TGGCCTCGTCCCTCTCCCTGTCCCCACGTCCCCTCCCTGTGTCCGCAGGGGGGTGACAGTGACCTACCAGGGCCCTCTTGATGTACTCCTCCTGGGCCGCCTTGGTGTTGTCCTTCTTGCCGGCCCAGGCCCGCAGGGCGGAGGCCTGCAGCGCCCGCCCGTAGGAGAAGGTGAGGGCCCAGGGCCGGGCCAGGGGACAGCGGTTGATGGCGTTGAGGTTGAGGGAGGCCTCCTCCTCACTCTGGCCACCCGACAGGAAGGTGATACCTGGGGATGAGGACAGGGTCACCACAGGGATGGGGACACCATTGGAACACCACGGGGACACCATGGGGACGTTGGGATGGGGACACCACGAGGATGTGGGGACACCACAGGGATGTGGGGATGGGGACACCATGGGGATGGGGACATCATGGTGATGTGGGGACACCATGGGGATTTGGGAATGGGGACACCACGGGGACACCATGGGGATGTGGGGATGAGGACACCGTGGGGATGGGGACACCGTGGTGACGTGGGGATGGGGATACCGTGGTGACATGGGGACACCATGGGGATGTGGGAATGGGGACACTGTGGGGACACCATGGGGATGTTGGGATGGGGACACCATGGGGATGTGGGGACACCATGGGGATGTGGGGATGGGGACACTGTGGGGACACCGTGGGGATGGGGACACCGTGGGGATGGGGACTGGGATGTGGGGACACCATGGGGACATCATGGTAACGTCAGGATGGGGACACCATGGGGACGCAGGGACACCGTGGGGACAGGGACACCGTGGGGACACCGTGGGGATGGGGACACCATGGGGACACCGTGGGGACGGGGACAGGCATGTGGGGACACCATGGTGACGTTGGGATGGGGACACCACGGGGACGTGGGGACACCATGGTGATGTGGGGATGGGGACACCATGGGGACACCATGGGAACACCGTGGGGATGGGGCACAGGAGGTCACCCCATGGGGACAGGGATGCCATGGGGATGGGGACGAGGACACTGTGGGGATGGGGACACCGTGGGGATGTGGGAAGGGGGCACCATGGGGAACGTGGGGCTGGGGACATTGGGAGGGGGGCACCACGGGGACAGGGCAAGG